ATCCCACTGCCACCAGCTCCCTGAAGTAGTACAGGGACTCTGGGTGCCCCAAACATTCCAGGCTCTCATGGCTTGCTTGCAGACTGTGGTGAAGCTGGCAGGGAGGAATGTTAATTTTAGCTGGCACCTGCTCTGCTTTGGGGAGTGTATTTATTGCAGAAGCACCATGTGTTTGTCTTTCTGAAACAAAAATGTTTCAAGACTTGAGGTTTGTGGAGAGCTTCCAAAAACCTCGGATAGCTGCAATTTGACAGGAAATTGTCATGTAAAGAATGAAGACAAAATCTGAGTTTTCAGGTTATTCCAGTAATAGTTTGTCTGCACTACAGTGGATACCAAAGATGTGCCTGTGTTTTTAAAAACAGCTCTGAGATGGTTCCCAGTCTCACCTCTAAAGTAAATAAATGCATGCATAAATGTGTGCCAGAAGAGCATGAGCTCTGCCAGCTCATCAGAATAAAATGTCAGCAAATGCCAGCAAGTTCCTGACCTTAATTCCAGCAGTTGTCTTCCTCGCCTTTCTGAAGACTTCTGCTTCCTCCCTAGCCCTTGCTACTTAGATGATAATCACCAGGTTTTATTCGGCAGAAAAGGCATGTGCTTGCTGCTCTGACCCACACACCTTGCTTGGTGCTTTCTCCACCGGGGACTGTACAGGTGACTTGGAGGGAGCCTCCTTGTGGGCTCACAGGGAGCAGGCTCTGGGGTGCTCTGGTGTTACATAGGTGTGTGCTCTAGAACACTCGTCAACTGCAGGAGTGTGACGCTGCAAGAATTTGCAGCTACAGATTTTGTGGAAGGACATTAAAGCAATCTGGAGCACCCAGCTAAGAGCTGGATCCTACCTTTCCTGTCTGAATGCCTGCCTAAGGGCTAATTTGCTTTACGATTTATTGCTCAGAGCTGCAGAATCTGCCATCTGCTCATTTCCTCTCGTATCCGTGCTCTTCCATGTTTCTCATTCCCACCCACATCCAGCACAATAAAAAAATTATTTTCATACCTAGCCCAAAGCCCTTTTATTATTGCTCTCCAGAGGAGGGGCCCTGAGCACAAACAGCGTGCGGTGTGTTCTCCCCAAAACCGCTGTGCTGCGCTATCGCTGTAGAAGCGACACGTGCAGTGATGGCTACGGAGTGACCAGCTGTGGTACATTGAATTGCTCGCTTTGAGAGCACTCAGAGCAGCATGAGAAGGGCTATAGTGGCCTCCTGGGGCTGCAGTGCGTGCTCGCCGCTGCTTCGTTTGCAGGTGAATGTCCTCGTTTCCAACAGCGGTGCGGCACACGAGTTGCTGGGAGAATGGCAGCCTTGTGCTGGCACTGTGTTAGAGGTACAAAGTGCTCTGCAAACACTGTGTTTCCCCATGCCTCCCAGGCTAGATTGCAGGTGGCTTCTGTTACAGGGTTGTGGATGTTACAGTAACAGGTACATCTTTCTGCTGGAAATACCACGGTACTCCCACAATGTTTTTCAAAGGGGGAGACCAGACAATGCATTCTGACACTGGCAGGCCAGACTGCCTTTATAAAATATTTGCATGGTATCAGCTCTTTTCTGGTCCTGAAACCAGATGATTTGAACTGATGCTTTGAAAACCACTATAGGCAAACTTAAAACTCCTGACCAACTCTTCAAGGTCCTTTGCTTTTGGATATATTGGTGAGCGCAGACCAGTGCACAGGCGTGCTACCAGCTGGGGTGACAGTCATTCTCCCCACTGTGCCCCCACTGCAGCCGGCATATGGTGATATGCTTTTCTGTCTGGCTTTCCCGTACGTGCTGTAAGAACATCATTTCAGCTTAACGGGATGAAGAAAGGAGGCCTGTGAGTGGCAGAGATGCGGCGTGGGGCTGGTTTCCCTGGGTGCTGGGGCAGGACCCCCCCCCCAGCGCTGGGATGCAGGCAGGGGAGCTGGGGCACGCAAGGCTGGAGATGGCCGCTCCGGCGCGGGCTCTGCGTGCTGCATTTCACGGCCTTCCCAGGAGATGGCAGGCCAGTTTTATGAATGCATAACCCGCGGCCGGCAGCGAGCAGCAGCAACAGGCGGCGGGAGCGGCCGGGGCAGGACCAGAGCTCCGGAGACAGGCGGGGAGCGATTCCTCTTACCCTGGTCCGCTCGCGGCTGAACAGCCCCGGAGGCTGACCGGGACCCTGGGCTAATGGAGGTGTCCTTCAAATGCCCTTGCTGCTCCCTCAGGGTGGCCCGGGCCAGGTCCCCGGCCGTGTGTGTCCTAGGCTCTGGTGAGATCCCCTCCTGCCCGGGTGGCACATGGGACCTTTGTCCTAGGCTGCTGCGCCAACGCGGGCGAGTCACCGTGTCCTCAAAACCAACCAAACCTGTTATACAGCTTCAGCGTGTAATTCCAGGGTTTCTAATTATTGATTTGGAAAGGGAGGAAACAGGTTCTGCACTTGCAGGGCAAACAAGAGTGTGAGTTTAACCTTCTTCCTATTCTTTGGGGAACTCCTGTATCTTTTTGTGTGGTGGTGGTGGACTAATCTCAATGTCCTGGGATGGAAAGCCAAGAAAGGCTCTTGAGGAAAAGGTGATGGTTTGGCAGGCATAGTGCAAAGGCAGGGGCATCCTGGAAAAAAAGGACGCAGTTAACCTTTGTAACATAACAGGAAGGTAGAATCATAAGAGAAGCCACCTGCAGAGCCCGTGTGACTTTGGATCACTGCCTGATGCAGCAAGTACCACTTAATCACACTTGGGGTAACAGGCAGGTGTGGGTTTGGGACAAACTGGTTTCAGGAAGAGCTGCTGCTTCCCCTCCCAGGGCTGCTGTTCCACATGGTGCAGCAGCACTGAGTTGCTGGTGCTAGAGGCCCACTAAGAGAGTCCAGAAGTAACTGCAGTGAGGGTTCTCCTTTGGCTCACCCTCAGTATTTAAGGGCAGTCTACAGGTTGACTCTGGGCACTGCAGCGGTCTGTGCGACTAGCCACTGTCATTGCAGAAGAGGCAGAGGAGAAGGGTGTGGGACTGCCCAGAGCATCCACCACACAAGGGTCTGTGAGCTTCCACAGTGCTGCCAGGTAAACCCACTGGGACCCCCCCCCTGGGAGGAGCTGGTTTGTTTGCCAGGCTCTGGAGGCTTTTTCTATCAAACACATGTCTGCCTGAGGAAAACCTCCCTGAAGGCACCATTCACTGAAGAGATGCAAGCTTTCCCACGCAGGAATTCAGCTCTTCACTAAATCTATGGGGCTTTGCTAGCTGCGGAAAGACAGCAGTTGGCAGACTGTATAACTTTAAGCAAATCTAGCACAACAACAGGGCTCCAAAGAAGCTGTGGGATCTCTGTCTTTTGGAATACTTTCAGATCACCTAGACACAGTCCTGAGTTGCTGCTCTCATCCTGAAGCTTACCCTGCTTGGAGCTGGCATTGGACAGGGGACTTCTCCAGTGGTTGTTTTACTCCCAGCACCTGGGACCTCTTCAATGCTGTCAGCTAAGCCTTTGCTAGAGGTAAACAGAAGCTTTCTGTAAGAACTCAGAGCATCAAGCACCACGGAACAGACTATCAAGACTATCCTGCCACTAACATCTACCTGTCCAAGGCCTAAATGACCCTAAGTCCATCGTGGGTGTTCACCCTTTCTGCCCAGGAATCTCTGCAAGTGCAGTCACCAAGCTGGTGCAGCAGCACTGATCCCCTGCCCCCCTTTGCAAAACAAGGAACACAGGTTTTCAAGAACCCAGGGCTTGCCTTCAATGGGAAATCAGTCCTTGATTAACTCATTCAAGTACTGACAGCTCTGTGTGATCCCACCCTGAGCCTGGCCTGGCATGTGGAAGCTGACAGCACAGTGGCTGTCTTCATACACCTCTCATGGGTATAGCTGAGCATATACATTTGTTCTCACCTTGTCACCTAACTGTTTGTGACCAGCCTGTTATCTGAGCTGCTGGGGATAGTAGAAAACCTGATCCAGTTTGAGGAGAACAATAATTTCTTAGACGTGGCTGAAATGCTGTGGCTGGCTCTGAACTATGTTATGAACTCAAAGTTTCACCACATTGATTCAGTCTGAAAAATCAATGGCCCTATACGCCTAGAGAAGGGTCAAAAGCCAGCACTGTGGTTTGCACTGCCGTCATTTAGAAGAGGAAATGTACTCTGGTGTGCAGGACTGCACAAACAGGGTGGGGCAAGAGCTTTGGGAATTATGGGTCTCCCGTGGAGAGGGGGGATGCATCTGCCTTGGTAAAGGCTCATTCTAAATGGTGCTCTGGTGTGTGTGAAGGCCAGTGTGAACTCTTTGGCCATACTGCAGTGAGATGAGCTTTGCGGTGGTTATGCAGCATCTATGGGTATTAAAGAACAGAAGAATGGAGCCATACCTTAGGGTGTACTCTGTATGTGTGGGTAAGGGGTGAAATAGCCTGGACTTGCAGTCAGAGATATGTAACTGGGTCCCTGCACAGCTGGAAAGCAACTCTGGGGTGCTTTCAAGTGTGTGTGTGAGCACATTCACAGCTTTTAGGGGTTTTATAAAGCAGGGCACAATAGGGTCTAATCTGATCACACGGACTGGCCTTTCATTTAGCACAAGGTGGAGATTTTTTTACTTCCAGCTTGCTTGATTTCCATCATGCCTGGTGTTGATACCAAGATGTGGATGGCTTGAGCGCCTGCAGCACCCCAGGCTCCCCTAGCGAAGAGGTACACGTCTCTCGGGGCGCCGCTCCCAGCCGAGGGCTTGCCATACGTGCCCGGGGAGGCTTCACGGCGTTCCGCAGCGCACCCCAGGCTGAGCCGTGCCCCCAGCCCCTTTCCTCTGTTTGAAACTTCGGCGGGACTGGGTGCAGACCCGGCACCACGCACTAGGTGTCAGCGGCGCCCTCCCCAGCGCCCCTCAGCGGGCTCGTTTCGGAGCGCCTCCCCGCCCCTCCCGCTGCAAGAGGGGGAGCCCCGCGCTGCCAGACCCCCTCCGCTACCCGCCCTTCCTCCGCGCTCCGCGGCGGCGCGTCCCCGCCCCGGGGGCAGGCCGGCGGCGAAGGGCGGAGGTTCCGCGGCGGCGGCGGCGCCGGGCGCGCTGCAGGGGCAGCCCGGCCGCCGCGGGGCCGCCATGCCCGCCAAGTCCAAGTACAACCTGGTGGACGACCGGCACGACCTCCGCATCCCCCTGCACAACGAGGACGCCTTCCAGCACGGCATCTGCTTCGAAGCCAAGGTGGGCGGCGGGCGCGGAGGGGTTCCGCGGGGCTCCCTGCCCAGCGCTCATACCCCGACCCTTCGGGATTCCCTGTTTTCCAGCTCTCTGTTCGCATAGCCTTAGGTTTTCCTCGCTTTCCCCGGCAGTCCTTCCTGCTGGCGTTGCCTGCTCTTCCCCGAGCTCAACTGCAAAGAGTTGGGTGAGGCTTCCCGCCCATCCCGTAAGGATGTCGGAGCAGGCTGGATGGGTCATACTGGAGCGGGGTCACCCTGCTGCCTCATCCGAGCATCCCTCCTTAGCCTTGCATCCCTCCATGGCTATGCGGGGTGTTGCTTGGAGACGTTGGCCCCAGAGAGCCACGGACTGTCCCATGTGTGTGTGCATCTCCCCCCAGAAAGAGCGGCCGTCTCGGACTTTGCTCTGTGCTCCCAGTGCGGTGGATAGCGCTGGAGTGCTAGTGTGATGGGGGACAGCTGGTGTATGCAGGATGCCGTGTACCCTGGTGTGCCCTGATGGGATAAACTTATCGTGTAAGCAGAAGGAAAGACTGCATGCCATTTGAGGTGTAGTGCTAGAGGTCAGGACTGCCTGCCCAAAAGAAAAGATGGCTGTTTCTCTTTATATATATAAGCCATTCTTGCCAGTGGATTTGGCAGGAAGCATGCTTTTTTTCCTTTCTTCCCTTTTTTCCCGTTTTTTTTTTTTTTTTTTATTATTCTTACTCCACTTAGGCTGTGGCTTCCCACAGGCTGAGTGCTTGCAATCCCACAGGCTGAGTGCTTGCAATCTCACAGCAGGCTGGGAAAAGCCAAGTTACCTGTCCATGTTGCCCAGCCCTGAGCAGGTAGTGCTGGCCAGCAGCTAACTGGGAAGTAGCTGGCCATGGAATCTGTAAACGGGAAACATAAAATTCTGCTCCCTTTGCTGTTCCCAGGGGATACAGTTATAACACTGACAAGATACTCAAGTGAGGTTGAGTTGGGAAAAGCCCAGTGTACAACAGTTTTGAGTGGCGGGGAGGCAAGCATCCCTCGCATGCTGTTGTCCTCAGAGCACATGTGTTGGCAGGGGGAAAAAATAATAAATCACAGTTTTGGCACCTGATTGTGTGCAGTGCCCTGGGGCGAGGCTGCAGATCCTTGCAGGCTGTGATATTTTTCACCTTTTCTCAGAGCTGGGAGGGTTTTTCTGCAGAGGCCATTCCTGCCTGACCGCAGGCGCTGTGCTGCAGAGCAAAACAGCCGAGGAGTTGTTTATGGAGCAAACTTAAACCTGCTTTGCAACTGTTTCTTAGGAAAGGCTGTTCAAATTCAGCTCTGCAGCCTTTTGCTCCTGGATTATTGGAGCTAATTGCTGCCAGCACCTGCTCACTCCTCGCCTGCAGGGAAGCTGAAAGCATCTCTCTTTCTAAATCCCATGTACCTCTTCTATGCCAGTTTTGGGTGGCCCAGCTTGGGGGGTTAGATGTGAGAAAGGGCTTCAATTGCCCCTCGGTCTACTCATGGCTCATCTCTTTTTCATGCTGCCAGCCTGGCTGCCTTAATGGGGTGGTGCGTCTTAGTCTTTGTTAGCTCCTCTTTCTCTTATTTGCTATCCTGTGGCACACGTTAATGCCAAGCACAGTCTGTACAAAACCCAGCTTCCGAATCTGTGGGCTTCTCCATCAGTCCCTGATGTCAGACACAGAACACAGATGGCTTAGGCAATTACTCCATCCTTTCATTAGATTTCTGGAGATTAATTAAATGCTTACTCCTTTAGTTCCTTTTATCCCCCAAAATCCTGAACGTTTAAACCTGCGCCGCTCTTGTTTTGGCCAGGCATCCACTGCGAGTCACAACAATGAGAAACTCTGATTTAGAGCAGAACTTTGGGGAAGATTAAAGAAGAAAAATGCTCATCTGGGGTGCCGGGACTTGCGTGCCTGTCTCCTAAAAGCCTCCTGGGATTGCTGCTAGTGAGGGTGGGGGGCATTCTGGTGTTACAGCCCTCGGCAGCTGAATCACTGCTTTTTGCTCCTGCAGCCTGGGATTCCTAACAAAGTTGCTTGGGGCTCACTGCAGGGGGGCAATGCTGGCCTGAATTGGTATGTGCTGATTGATTGGTTTAGTTTTTAGTTTTATTTTTACATTCAGACCTACGCTGTCTGCTGCTGTCTTTAAATGGCACACGTAGTGGTATGTAGTGGTTCAATGCTAGCTGCTGGCATCCATGGTGTCATTTCTCCCGAGGGAGTCCTGGCATCCTGGCCTGGGTAGTTGTGGGCAGTCAGGGTTTGGGCTGTTTTCCAGCACAGAGTGATGGACTCAGTCTGAAGCAAGAAGTGCTGTCACATGTGATGCTTGTGTTGCTTGTCCCCAGTGAAGCCACTTGGAGCCATATGCTCTGGCATGGGGACACCAAGTCTGAGCAAACTGTCCTCTAAGGATTATGTTAATCCATTTTCTGGAGATAAATCCAATAGTTGGAAAATCCCATTCTATCTTCTTAGAATAGTAATAGATTTCACACTTCTGGATCTGTTTTCATTAGCCACCTCTCCTGGCACCAAACACTTCTGTGTCCCGGAGGTGCCTTGGCTGGGCTGCTGGGAATTGGAGGAGCTGTCTCCAGGGGAAGGCAGGACGTTCATTTTGTTCTGTGTCTTGTGGTCTGAAATGTTTAATAAAATCAAAAGCCTGGCCTCTTGGGTTAGTTGAAGCATCTGGATGAGGGCTGGGAGCTGCAGCATGGTGCAGGGGAGTGGACAGAAATTCCCACTTGCGCAGTGGTTTTCTGATTAAATAAATGGGTATGTAGAGAGTAAAGATGCCTCCTGTCCTTCTCCACCCAGCACAGCTCCTCCGGTCTGTGCAAGGAGGAGGGGGATGTGAGCTTACTCCTTATCTTCTCAAACCCTTAGTGCTGCAGAACAAAACCCAAGAGCCACCTTGTGCAACACCAGCAATTCTGCACATTCGGAGATCATGACTCAGGCTACTCCAGGGAGATCAGCATGTAGAGGGAGGTAAATGGGGTGATGAAGCCTGTCACTGGAGTGCCAGACCTGCAGTCTGTTCCAGTACAGGGATGCTGGGTGCTGCTGAGTTTGCACAGTGAAGCTGTTACTGGCCCCTCAGGAGTTGTTACTGTCTGGGAGCTCAGTGGGCTAGGCTCTCCTCCTGCCCTAGAGATCCTGTGGTCCAGAGCAAGATCCCATGTACCATGGACCTATTATTTAGAAACAGATATCAGTCCTTCAGTCCTGGGACTCGTTAATCCATTCACAGTATCCTAATGTGTGTGGTTCCCAATAAAGGGGTAGATGGGTGTGAGATCCCTCTTTGCCGCACCCCCATCTGCAGGCGGAGGGAGAAGGGGCTGTATAAGTAAACCTTGGTCTTTGGGCAGACCCATTGCCTGCAGTCCAGAACTGCCATGGGCGTGCTGAAACCTGGAGCTCCTGATACCAGACCAGTTTGCAGATAAATGCAACACTAGAGGTTTGGGTGGGAAATGCTGTTCTTCTGGGCAGCAGGTGGGGTTTGGGGGTTTGGGTGGCAGGTTTCTTTTTTTTTTTTCCCTTAAGGGATCTTGGCAACCAGGCATTTTATCTCATATTTGTCAGTACTTTTTTCTGCGTGGGATACTGAAATTGAACCGAGCATCTGCTGCTGTCTATGTTTGGAGATGGGACATGAAAGAGACTTTAGTTTGATTTAGCACATCCCTTCCTATGAAACCCTTCAGCTCAACTGCCCGCTGCCCTCCCAAGGCTGTGAGTACTGGAGGTGCCTGCTGATTGCTGCAAAGATAAATCCTATATCAGGAAAAGGATTGTAGCCCCAGGTGAATGCTAAGCAGTGAGTGCATGTGTGTTTCCACTCCTGTGTGTTTTTTTGTGTGCATAAGGTCCATACACAAAAGCATTAGAAGTGAGTTGAATCGCAGGCAGCTCTAATGGGGTCTTCAGTTTCCCATCTCTGCTTCAGACTCCCTACCCAGCAGGTCCCTTTTCCTGGAGGGATGGGAAGCTCAAGGCTGCTTGTGTGAAGCTGCACCTCTTTAGCTGGCTGGGAGAGACTTGGCGGCTTTGGGGGCTGTTTGTACTGGCACCTCTGGAGTACGACGTGCTCTCTCAGGGCTGCTCAGCGCAGAGCAAAGCTGCAGTGTGATTTAGCCTGGGATTGCTTGCTCGAGGCTATAAATAACCTCCCCAAGTGCCACAGAAGTTCTCCTCTGAAACAGTGGCATATTTCTGCCATACTTGTTAAGTCAATTCACAGGCTGCTTAGTGAAAAAGAGAAAATCTCTGCCGGGATTTGGCAGAGCTGTGTGTGCCCAGACTGTGGGTCCCAGCTGGGCACTGCATGGGCTCTGACAGATGCCAGAAAGCCCTGAGGAAGGTGCAATGGGAGTGGGATGCTCCCAGCCCTCTTTCTGGCTGCTGAAGTGGTCGGGTCCTTTGTATCCTGTCCATGGAATGCCTGTTAAGGCTGTAATTGTGTGTAAGTGCAGGAAGCTCAGCCCTTGTGTGGGGGGCAGCAGTGGGCTGGGTGGGGTATGGAAACAGGAGCGAGTGGACAGCCCAGCTTCATTGGTATGGAAAAACTCCAGCTCTTCCACTGCGCCCGCTCACCCTGTGCCCTGGTGTCCCTGCTGCAGGGCTGCATTCTGCTGCAAAGGTGTCTTATTATCACATGAGACCCTGTTTTGGCTGGTGAGAGGGGAGGGTGGGTGCTGTGCACATGACTCTGGTAGGTGCTGGGTCTTGTCTTGGGACCCTCAAGAGCTCTGTGTTTCTGTGCACCTCCTAGGCAGTGCCAGCACTTGTAGGATCAGCAGGCAGAGAAGCACTAATAACCTTAGGGCATCAGACTGACCAGCGCTGCCTGGCATGAGGTGTCCCTGTGTTAATGCCTATGGTCTGGTTGCGTAGCTCTGATGCGTTGATAGGTCTGACATGCTGTGTTAAATTACCTGGCTCCCAGGGCTGGGTGCACCCTCGTGTCCTCAAGGTGCAGAACCCTGTTAAAGGG